AGCAACATCATCATCAGCAGCAATGTCGTTAAGATATTCACGGTTAGATTCATTGGGAGTGAAACGTGCGTAATTAAAAGAAACGCCCTTTGAACGCTCTTTCGGTTTAAATTATGAAATTTTTATCGCATTTCAAATTTTTTGTTGAAACATTAAGCTCGTTTTGGTAAAATTGCCGCGTGTATAAGTTGATGAAGACAGGAAAAAAATGGCATAATAAAGGCGACGCTTCGTTGGTCGGCAAATAGACAGAGAGAGAAGAAGAGAAAGAGAAACCATGGACCACACTTTGTATGAAATGTGAGTGAGTTTTCACTTGTGAAAGACTGAAAGAATAAGAAACCTCGCGCACTTCACCATACACAAATCGACCCATTAGATCAGGAAAGTAAAAATAATATGACTTTTAAGTTTTCTTGTGAAATATGAAAGACCATTATTTTTGAACAAGTTTCACTCTCTGTCTCTCTATTTGATTTCATTCTATGTGGTTGTTTTTGGGCAAAAAGTTTGGTGTTTTTCTTCCATCAGTGTGGAGTGCATTGATGCCATGGCACTACTCCATTTGAAGTTCTCTATCAAACAAAACTTTTGCTTATGCCAAAGTGTCAGAACAAAAGAATTGGCAAAGAAACTTTCATTCGCCATTTTTTCGCATCTTTTTTCCCCTCTTTTCTTGTGTCTTTGTCGCCGATCATTTTTTTTTTTGTCTCTACGTCTTTTTGAATTTTCTTCGAAATGCTGCCAGAAACACGGTGATGGCTTTCAAGCCTAGGCGACAAAACAATGCAATGCATAAGGGTAGCATCCAAACCAAACGAAGCGACCAACGAAAAAAAAAAAAAATAACGAGAGAATGGTGAAAAATTGCATTTGTTATGAAAAGCGTTGAAACGAAAATTAACGTCACAAACAATTCAAAAAGAATGGCAAAAGACAAACAAACAACTCCTTGTGGACTCATACAAAATAATCATCATTAGGTGGCTGGAGTTTGTTCTGACGTAGATGAGAAAGACACATAACGCATATCGTACATCACTTGCAAAAGGCGCGACATTTTTCATTTATTCAATATTCATGAGCAGTATATATATTTTTTTGCGACTCTAATGTCGGAATTGTCGCAGAAATGCGCTTTTTCTTCATGCGAACACATTTTCCCTAGCATTTTCCCGTCGGATCAATTTTGCAACTTTTTCACTTTTAAGCGAATGGAATGAAAAGTGAGAGAGAGACAACAAATCGAAGTTGAAATTGACAATTGTTTTTAATCAAGCAAACGGGTTACAAAGTCAAGACATCCACCAAACAAGTTGAAAATTTAATTCCCCATTCGCAATCTATTGTCTTTTTCTGTTGTTCACTTCTTTATGCATTCAATTATGGAATATTTGGATCACATACTTTCCTTATTTGGCGTCTTATACACAGGAAAAAAAGAAAATCCATTCACTTGTTTTTCCGGACGAATCTTTTTCCGTCCCTTTGCTTATTAATTTGGATTCGCTTCTTGTGATGGCCATTCACGAAGTGATAGCGGAAAATGGAGACGAGAATATAAATACATGCTCCAAATACGTCGGAAAAATTGGTTTAAGATATAGACAAGCAACTGAAGCATTGAAAGCAACGGACGGATGATTGCTTCGTAGCTATTCTTTTCCCAATCTCTTTTTTATCCGGTGTACGGTGTTTTTTTCTCTACCCCTTCTTCTTCGTTCTCTCTCTCTCTCTTTTCCCTATTTCTCTGTTCGTCTTGGATTTTCCACTTCAATACGATTTGTCTGGACTTTTTGTCGCTAATGCTTCTAACGAAAGAATTTCGATTGCAATATCGTTGAGGGAATGCAAGTTTTTATGGAAAATAACGTCTTAAAATGAAATGCACACAAACACGAACACTAGCAGAGGGAGGAAGCACAACGTCTGCTCTATTCCATTTTATTCAACTATGGATACGAATACTTCAGACGACCGAACATGAAATACTACACTTTGATGGATTTAATCCGAGAATCAGAATCTAATTAGATCGCAACTACATTTGATAAATGTGGTTGCTCTGTTTAGTTCTCTCCCATTACGATATATAGTTTCGTTCTCTGCATCGAAAGTTGTTCAATTAAAATGCCATAAAAGTTTGTTAAAATTTCCAAATTCATCAAACATCTGATTGTGTTTGTTCGAATTCCGATTTGGAATTCGATGGTAAATCAAACGATATACAAATTGTATATTCGAACAAAGTATCACAATTTAACAAGAAAATATCAGCACACATACTCAACTCAAATATAAATAAAATGATTTAAGTAAATAGCATCGAAAATGTCAAAATCAATAGCAAACATCAAAGAGTAAATAGATTAAATATTGGCAATAATACAGGTACCGAGTACAAATGTTAGAATTGAATTTATGACAGCATTTACAGTTTATGACGTCGAAAAAACATTTTATTTACTGTTTCTTAGTAACGATTACTTTGTATTGAATTTTATATTTAAGTGACTTACATCCCTAAGCACATATTTCCAACGAATATTTTTCATTTTAATCAAAATTCTTCGTCATCTTCTCGTTGGAACTACTTACTTAGTGACTCCTTAAAACAAAACAAAAATTACCAAAATTGTATTCCATGAATATTCAAAATATCTGGACGGAAGAAAATGTAGGGAGAAAATGCAATTCAAAAAAAAAAAAAAAATAAAAAAATAAGCCGAAGCAAACATTTGCAGTATCCGTATTATTTTCGATGCATCTACGGAATGCCACAATAACTCCGCACAAATCGGTTGCCAAAAAATGTTTGTGTACACAAAAACATCGTACTTGTTCAACAGGCAATCGATAGCGTTCGTTCGTTGTTTGTGTGCTCTTTATTTTTCTTTGTTTGGTTCTACATGTATCATGTTCAAAACTAGTTGCGATTACTTGTGTACTAGTTAACATTATTCTATGCGGAGCGGGTTGTGTTTAATTTGTTGAAGAGGATTAAATTCCATCAAGTGTATATCATTTCGTTGTAGAATATGGCTCATGTTTCATTTGAAACCATTGTAAATTGTATATGCCACAAAATAATAATAACATCAAAGCATCGTTTTCTCCATACAAAATACTATTTAATAATAATGAAATATCAGATGAGAAATGAGATTGGTGCATTCACTGGTTACCAACGCTTAAAATTTGAATTTAATATAATTCTCGCTTTGAAAGTTTAAATGACAGATGCGAAACATTATATGGAGGAATGTATAAAATGAACGAAAATTGAGAGCGATGTGAAATATGCGTTACCTTGACGTCAGGTTTGTGAGATTTTTTTCCCTCTCATGTCATCTTCTCTTTCCCACCCGCCTCTTCCTCACTATTTTCATTCATATTTTTTGATGTCGTAACCGAAGCGATACCTTCCTTTTACAATTTGCACACAAAACATTTCCTCTAATGAATCCATACAACGAACGGGACTGTGATTGCATTTCCAAATAGAATAGATGTGTTTTTTTTCTCTCGTGTTTGTTGTTGTATACGCTTTCAAAATTTGCCCCAACAAAAGAGGGATGAAAGTGGATTTATTCGAATGAAAACTGTCGGTTGTTATGGCAGCGTTCATTTGCAAACTGTATTGCAATGCTTCAAAGTAGTCAATGTTTGGCCAACATGTGCAAAAAATTTGAAGATCCAAAAAAGAGGGAGAGAGAGAGACAGAAATCCGACAACTCGAAATATTTTCATTGGCATCACAGCTGTGTGCATATTACGAGTTTAGTGTTGCAAGATATTCGATGTGCATGTGTAGTGCAACAATTTCTGACTCATGCGTCCATTTAAAATTCAAATACCATTTCTATTTAATAAATACACACTCTCGATTTTGGCTTGGATACAACAAAACTACATTTTGAATACAATGCATTTCCATTGTCGTTTGTACGATATTTACTGAAATAAATTCCCATTGCCTAAAACCCGAAATACCAACCGATATATATTTTATTTATGTGATGTGCATTAGTGTTTATTATTAACAATGAAAAGTAGGTGGAAAGAGAGAGAGAGAGAGAGAGAGAGAGAGAGAGAGAGAGAGAGAGGGACAAAGGGTGGCTATCGAATGGGTGAATGCGATACACATCCCCATAGAAAGAGCTTAGCAAGCATCGATTTACCGGTGAAAATGTATTTTCCATTGGGCATCGACCATATTTACATAATAAATTGCTAGTCGTTTCCATATATTATGCAATTGTTGATTACTTCAGCCAAATACAATTCGACCACGTTGAATATGGATACTTGACGTGCGATTCTAAATTGTTGTGATCTCTGCGTTCTCGGATCATGTACACCGAAGAATATTCGTATGGATACAGAGAGCGATCCATTTAAAATATAATTTGCACTAAGAGCCGGAGCCAGAGAGATTTTCATCACTTCAAAGTATACAATTTTCGTGAAGAGGTGACCAAATGGCAACGAACAACATGTATATTAGTATAACAAAAAACCAGTTTTGTTATAATAATAATGAACACATATAGATTATAGAAGCTTGTTCGGAATAAGCTCGGGTTTTTGTTTCCATTATTAATAAAGCCTGAACAAACTAAAATCTGTTGTTCTCTCGCAATCGAAAGTTGGATGGCAACCCGAGCGCACAATGTTTTCAATAGAAGTTTTTCAACAATAGAAAAAGCTGTGGCTAACAAAATCCTCTCGATGGCAGTTATACCATTATTGCAACAATCGAAAAGTGCTTGATGTGTTCAATTTTGGATGCATGTGAATTTTGCATAGCAAAATATTGAAATTAAATAAAATGCTATTAAGCTTATTTACCTATTTTGAGCTGGTTGTTTTTGGTTGCACTTCTCGACAGATGAATAGCTATTGAATCGTTAATTTTCTTCAGTAAATTTAATTTGCAAAATATTTTGTTTGTGCTCCTTTAAATTACCCATTCATTTTTTTTGAAATTCTCTTTACAGGAAAGTGTACCGGAAAGCAATTAGTTTGCGCGATGGCAATTCAAGCGGAACAAATGGAAATGTACTACTTCGCGATGACAGTACTGGTCCATTGGCTATGAATTCACACACCATTTCAGCAGACGAGGTAAGAGGCAAATTGTATTATTGAAATTCTCGATATAGTTTTTTTTTTGTTGCAGCACAATTTTGGGTCATTCGAATAGAATACGAGAAATTAAGCAACAAATGGACCATTGAAATTTCCATTGCACTCACTTTAAATCGCTTTGAATATAGCTGGGTTTCTTTTTGTTTGTTTGGCCATATAGAAACAACATACTCTCTTTTCTATTACATATAGAAAGAAGAAAAAAATATGCACACAAAACTAATTTGGCTTTGGCACTAGCTGTTTAACTGACCATTTCGAATTCGGAATTTTTGGAAAATAGTAACGCAAGTAAATTTAATTGGGTGCTTGATTTGGATTGTAACATTGTTATATATTTGAAATTGCACTGACGCAAATCCAAAAAAAAAACGAACAAACATGGCTATTGTTAAGCTATAAAGCTATATAATCACAAAGACAGCGCAACGTGTTATTTCCATTCCAATCGTACCGAATTCAATGTGAAAACGTTTTTTTCTGGTTGAAATTAGCCACACAAAAAAATCATGCACACAAAAATGCGCATTCTTTTACATTTCAAGCATACACAAGTAAATAACTTGTTTTTAATAGCTAGAAACCTGAAATGTTTCTTGCAATATTCAACGACGTCGACGCAACACAGCAACGGGGATAAAAAAAGCGGCGACAGGAGTGCACATCTTTGTGATGATGTTGAATAAAACGTACATAGAAATAAACCTAATAATATCATGTATACACGAGATAGAAGAACGATTCAGCATTTTTTTGACAAAGAAGATTGTTTTTAATGCAAGTTTTGATTCTTTCACCCGTTTTTGACGGAGGATTTTTTTTCTTCATTCGTCGTAATGCCAAATGAACAATTACTTCAAATGTTGGATGCATGTAATCGAGAGAGGGGGGAGAGAGAAAGAAACATCAACGACGACAGAGAAATTGCACTCAAATTGCACACGTACTGAACTCATAATAACAATAATGCCGTGTTATGAACATCAATCGCGCTGCTGGCATGTGCACATGTAATTGTGTGTGCAAGCACATACGCGATACATTCATTCTTATGCTCGTTTGCCATACTTTTTTCGGCAATTTTTTTTTACGTTTAGACCAGAAAAAGAGTGCGCCGATAAGAGAAAACGAACAAACAAAAAAATGCGATGCAGCAAATGAACAATAATAATAGCGATGAGTGAGAAAGAGTGAGAAAAAAAAAATTTGAAATACAACGTAGAATCAAAGTGGAACTGGCCATTCACGTTGCGTACTACATGCGCTAAGCCTTAATTTTTTTTTGCGTTTTTTCGGTCGCTCACATATTCGTGTGTTTGCAATCTCTAGTCAACGCTAGGCGTTTAGTGTTAGTGATTCTTATGTGTTTGCAAGGCAAAAATTTCGGCAGTTAGGTCGTGAATTCTCTCTGTACACACACACTCTCTGGAATTGCTATACATATGTGTACATTTGGTGTATTTAAAAAGAGAAGACAACAACGCTAGCGGTTACTGGCCCCGGTCAATGACCAAAAAACGAATATAAACAAACCATCTATGATGCCTCGGTTCTTTTGAGCACACGGCATGTATGGCTCCTTTGTGGTATGCAGCCACTTTGAATCTTTCGTTCATGATTATGATTGTTGGTTCCATGCAATTTACGAAGATTTTACAAACGCAAACAACACTATTATTACGATTTTTACATATAACCGTTCCATGTCATGCATTTTTCGGTTCTTCGTTTGTAATAATATTATTAAAATATCACTGAATAACGCAAAATTGCATGTAATTTAAAAGCATTTCATTTAAGAAATCGTGCCTCTTTAATTACTTTAGAATTAATTACATTTTTTTTCCATTTTGCAATTCATAAGAGCATTTCAAGCGGAATCATATTCAAAATGACTTATGCAACGTGCATTTGTTTGTGTGTGTCGCCGATTTTTTAAATAGCAGTCAAAGAGCCCAAGTCGTTCTTTTTAGTAAGCATTGCGACTGTCTTCTGTTTTGAACGGGTTGCCGACTGTTGATTGTTGATACTTGGAGACAAGCGACAAAAAATATATAGAACTGTCTCTAATTTATAATAAAAAAACATACACGAGGATGTATACAAAGGAAAAAAGAACCAACGTCGTACGACTCTTGGGTTCACAGCATGCCATTTCCTCCCGACCAAAATGAAATAGACAAAAACTAGTCTACTTTTTGAGTGCATGTCAAGTGAAATGAGTATTTCAATGGAAATTACACTTTTTTCCATTCTGTCGCTCACTTTGTGAAAGTTACAGTTTTGCATATCTCTCAAGATTTGTGCGAGAATGAAGGAATATATATAGTGTGTGCGAGTGATTGTGCACAACTGCATTTGTAGAATCATTCTTTTTAAATTTTTTTCGGGCTGTGGCAGCAAACCACTTGGTCTTCCGGAGTCTCATCATCATCATCATTTGCATTGGAAACTAAAAGATATATGTTGTACATTCAACTCATGCACTGAGTGACATTCGAGGAAATTACTTTCGAATTTTGCATTTATCCAGATTAAAGAGATGTGCATGTACGTCTGTTTCTATTCCATTTTTTTCTACAAATGTGGTGCTCCTTTTCATCGCCGTCCCGCCCGATCGCTTACACAATGAGACAAATATACTATATTATGGCAGCACAGAGCATACACACACACACCCAGTGCCACAATGTATATACATTTCGACGCGTCGGATGACAGCAAATCAAGACGTGAACGAACATATCCGCTATACTTCGGCACAAAATGATCCAATTGACAAGGATTCAGTTTGAATGCCAAAGTGCATGTATAAAATGCACGATTTGTATTTTTGGTTTTCGTCACGACCATTCACTTTGCCGTTTCACATGAATTGTTCGCTGGCAGTCAGGCTTCTTTTTCTGTTTCTCTCGATTCGATTCGTTGTATCCCATGCACAATGCACAAAATTCGGAATGGAGCCAAACAGAGCAATCAAGTGTAAAATTGATATTTTTTTCCTCTTTCGTCTGACGCCGAAAAGTTTGTTGTAATATTGTCACATTCCTTTGCATAAGTCGGAAATCATCTAGAGATCGTGGAGCGAGCAAAAAAAATTCGAGTAAACATTTGATACTCGAGCAAAAAACTCGTATTCCTCAATTGTAAATGTCAATTTTCTTTTTTATAACATATATAAAATTGTTTGAAACGCAAAGAAATTGTAATAATTGTGCGCAATTCGTATTCAACAAATGAAATGTGCAAGCGAAATTAAAACACGTGTTGAAAACTCCCAACGAATTTGAAATGCCATCCATAATTGGAAAATGCTACATTGTGTGACACAAAAGGAGATGGGGCAAATCACCATCATTGACTAAAACAAACCGGCCATTCTTCACTCTTCTTAATGCTCTCTCTCGCTCTCTGGGTTGCGCATCGGAAAAGTAAATTGAAGGGAAAAATAATTCAACAGCTCGTTAAGTCGTACAAAGTCAGCGATTATTCAGCAAGTAATTAGTATTTGATTTGTGTGCATGTTTCGTTTTCCATTGGCATTGACACGGCCAACGATCACCACATGATTTTATCATTCGATGCACGTCGCGTCCATATTATTGCTGCACATTGACGAAACATGTGTATCCAACAATATAATTACACTTCACCCACTTTATCATTTTTCGCCTTTCCTATGTTGTCCAATTTAATCGTTCTCGGTTTGGTTTGATTGTCATTTTTACCGAGAAAAAATAACCCAAAGATTATCCTGTCCGATCCAATCTCATGCGCTATTTTTATCAATTTACGATGATATTGTTTGCAATTTGGGCGATCTCATTAAACTGACACCACCCATTTTTTTCTCTCGATTTTGTTTCGATTAAAACAATCGATCGGTGGGATTTTGCCAATACGTGTGCCTTTAGTAGTTGCCTTTCGGATTTTCAATTTCAAATGTATATATCTATAAAAAAAAGTTAACAAAACCAGCCACTGTAAATTAATTTTTATCTTGAATTGACAATATCATGGACATTAATTGGTAAATCGATATAAAATATGCAAAAATATATCATTAATTATCACATATTATGCAGTGGAATTTTGTTTTCCGAAAAAAGCAACAAACACACATATAATAATTATAGCACCGATGGCAAATATGGTCACCGAAAAAGTGTATATTCAATTTGTCAAAAAAAAAAAAAAAAATGTGGCCAAACAAAACATTTTTTTCAAGTTTTCAAAAAGAATATACGCGCTTGTTTCGAATGAGCATGTAATAGCCTCGTGACGCCAATTAACAGACCGATACAAAAAAAACTCCACAACAGACATGAATTATGTTCGTTTCATGTGACACTTTATCGGCCATAGTGGAGTGAACTGTCGATTATGCGTTAAAATCAACGTTCATTTTTTATCTCTTTCGGTCGCTTGTTCGCTGGATGGAGATATATTGTAACGACGTTGCTATTTGATTTTTCCCATTTTTTATTTCGATAATATCGGTGCCAAAAATGGCATTGTCTGTCGTTGTCTCGCTCTCGTTCATTTATTTGGCATAAATAATAAATTCTGTAACGGTTAACGTTCGCGAGTATGTTTTACGTCGCGCCATACAGACTCGTAGACACACCGTATACACATCGAAATGAACGAATTCCATTCCGCCAGCATATGGCAAACCGCAATTATTCTCGTATCAACCGTTGCCATAGATCCTTCACACACATTTCCTATAACTCGCAAATATTCATTCATTATTTCTCTTTCGCTCTCGTTTCAGTGTCCTATCTTTTTCTCTGACTCTATTCAATGGCTGTTTTCCGAGGTGAATTTAATTAAAATTCGAGACAACATGGAATTTCCCGTTATTTGTGAATTTCAACCCGAGTGTGTGTGTGTGTGAATGCGCGCATATATTTGATAGTGGGCGTGTGTGTATATGTTTGTGTTTTTCCTGCCGAATTTCACAGTTGAGGAGCTTCAGGATATGTGGCAGAGACGGTGGCGAAAATTCAATTTGCAATGTGAATCATGTTTGACGAAACAAACAAAAACATTGCAAATAACTATAGACTGTTTGAAGATTTTCTACCCATCACCGATAAAGTCGAATGGGGCCCTGTGAATGGAATGGCTTTTGTATTGCTCAGTTAACAGCACATCGTTGTTTGTATATGCTTTTGACCGCATCCGTGGATATGTTAGCCAATCTCATTCAATATTTTGTACCGAGCTTCCATCACCTTTTTTAATTTCCTCGTCTATTTTTCCTTGGCATGTGTGTTCAGTTGAGTGCAGCGTATCTTTATTATGGTCCATCATTTATTCAGTTGAAGATCCAATCAAATACACCCTCACTTCAAGCGTTTCACTTGTTTTTTTACGCTGCATCTTTTTCGCTGGCGCCCACAAAAAATAGAAATAAATTATTTGACTTTGCAATGTAAACTTCCCGTTCTGCCACCAAAAGCATCAAGCATATTCCGTTGTTGATCGGATGTAAAAACATTTCCCATGCTCAGACACTAAATCATTACGAAAATGAAAACGAATTTTAGTTCAATCGATATGGCGGATAGATAGTGAGATGAGAGGAAATATTGGAATGAGAAAAGAACGTGGGCCAGCGGATATAACGGTAGCATCAGTGGCAGCAGAGCGAGAAAAAGAAACAATGATAGATAAAAGATATGGTCGCATTGTTCTCAATGCAAATTGTTTGGATTTTATGCCCCCGTCGGGTTTTTTTTTTCTACATTTGCCGAGCACAATCGATAATCTGATGAACCGTTGTTATTCCGGTAGCTTTTTGTTCATTTGTGTCGAATAGCAATAACCGTTTTGCTGTGCACATTACTCAAATTGATAGAGACAGAATGAAATAGCGAAAAAACCGAGCGGGAGAGAGACGAAAAAACCATTGCGCATTGATTGAATGGGAAATCGAAGTCAATGCTGGGAATTTTGTCGATTTTGAAAGACTCATTACCGGAAAAGCGCTTGTAAATCCAAAATTCGAATCTCCCGAAACAAATGTTCAATTCAACAACACAAAAAAAACACACAGCTTCACATTGATTCGTTTACGAATTTCAGCAAGATAAGATTTAGCAATTGGAGCAGCACAAGAAAAATATAACTTTGTGCAGGCAAATGAAAAAGACATTGTCGGTGTAAGTGTATGTGAGCTTCCGCGTTGGCATTTTGCTAAGTGTGTACGAATTTCAGTTCAGAAAATGCACACACACGTACCATCATCATTTCGTGTGCTTTACGAGCATGAGATGACGATAACCGAGCAAATCATACGAAATGTCTTTCTGCAACATTAACAGAGGAAAGCAATATCGAGAAAGATATAGAAATCAAACGACCGAAAGCTAGATTCATTCAATGGGAACGGGTCCAGAACAATGATTTCGTCTTACATGTGAATGTGTGTGTGTGTGTCTAAATGTAAAAAAAAGTGCAATTCCGTAATTTACGGCTAAACTACACGCATCCGAATTACAAATAGAGCAGAACCAACAAACACTTTGTTGTTTTTGCAGCTACTATTGCCTGGGTAAGAATATCGAAGTTTCTACGTTTAAAATGGCAAAATACCGAGAGAGAGAGAGAGAGAGAGAGAGAGAGAGAGAGAGAGAAAATCCATGCATTGAAAAATCGTCGAAAGTAAAACCCGAAGATGAATTCGTTAAGGGGCAAATGATGAGTGTAAATGATGAAACAAGCATGTGAAAACGTATGCATATGAGATATTTCTTTTGGTCTAAATAAAGTTATTCAAAGATTCTATGCTCTTGATAACAAAACACCACCTCGGGCCCAATAATTTAACATCAAAATTTACTGCATTTTATCATTCTATTGATTTTCGCTTTTCGAACACATATTCGCACATATAAATATCGTCTAAATTCACATATCATAACGTTATCTTTGCCGGAGAAATACCATCACGAAATGGTTTTGCCAGAAACATTTCGTGCAGCTTGATAAAACTATTTATAGTATGTGTTTCTTTTTCATTTTATTCGATGTACCTTCTGCCATACATCATTGAGACAGAGAATGATAGGGCTGAATCATGTTCGAACATCATTTTACTAGAAAAGCATTAGTTTTGTTTCACTTGAGATCGGAAAACGAATGTATGTGTTTGTGCTTCATTTCATTTGGCTCATGCATATAGTATATCTTGAGTAATGTTCATTCCCTTTTTTAATGTTTGCACGGGAATAGTGTGTGTATTTGTATTTCTATTTTGTGCCTGGGCACTGAAGAAGAGATCAAACATGAGAATATTACCATCTGTTTTATTACCTTTTGCATACGTTTTCACCCAGTTTTGATGACAGCCATCCATGTGAACGCACATTGTTATCATCATCATCATGCATTAGGATTTTTGCGCCGATGTAGCAAAACAATTTAGTGAAATGAAAGGGGCACTATTTTAGTCAACACACAAACAGCATAATATTGATACACACACACAACATAAGCAAATGGGAACACTTTATCGAATCACCATTATCGTGCATCCGGATCGCATAAATGGATTTGGTGTGCTCTCTCGAACGAAAATTCACTCGAAATCATTAGGAAATGTTTTGCTTCACAACTAGGCAATAATAATCGACGTAAGCGGTCGTTTGAGTGAAGTGAAATTAAAACCGACCTCCGGACGGAAATAGGAATGCGGGATTTTACTTTCATTTTCTTCGTCGTCTTTTTGTGCCATTGATTTGATACGAAATATTATGAATTGTGTGTAACATCCAATCAAAGTATTGCAGAGACCTGGTAACCAGGCCATTTCGATTTGAACGATTTGAATCATATATATGATTAGATTCGAATTGAATTGATATTTTCTTCATTCGATTTTCCCGATGACATTTTCTTTTGAATTTGAATCACTGATAACACACATTCAACCATTCTCATCATCTTAAACCGACAAATTACGGTCGTCTAAAATGAGTAAAAATACACCATAATCATTTGGCGAAGGATTACGGTGTAGCGTGGCTTTTCAAAGACATTCGATGTGTGCGATAAAAAAGAATCGTCAATTCGATTTCAAAACATAAAAGCCATTTGCCATTCGAGAAGAGAGAAACTATTAAGACCGTCAATTGCAAAACGTGTTGGCGTTTATCATGAACATTTTTTTCCCAAGAATTTGTTACGGCTTGAATCATTTTGTCTCTTTCGACTTCTCTCTCTCTCTCTCTCTCACTCTATCACTGTATCTCTTTCTGTAATGCGATCGATTTTTCGGTCATCAACATCAAATTATAAAGAATAAGGTACATATTCATAGCGTTGTCAAAGTGTCACTTGCATCCAATTTCTTCAATCAAATTGTGGTTACCCTCCGAAATTGACACAGCATTCCAAAGACGACAACTAAATCCATTCGGTGAATTCAAGCCTCTATATCAAATAACAATTACCTTTTTCATACATGAAAAAAAAAAAAAATGACAGAGAATTAGTGAGATGAGAAAAAAAGGTTCGCAAAGTAAAAGTTTCCAACGAAAAAGAAAAAGCGCTGGTCACTGAAGGTTATGACTACACATCGTCGACCTTTGGGTTTAGCCTGCATTTTTCTATCTACAATTTCACCATGAAACGCAATTTCCCATCAAAGTAATAAACCTGAATACACCTCCCGCACCAACACAGACACCATTTTAATGACAATGATGATAAAAGCTTTTAGTTAACCATCGACTGCGTCAAAATGTTTAGTAGAAAAGTGCAAATAATTCGATTGATGCGTGCACCAAACAAAACTGAACATCATGCACATGGTCAAAAATGATGAACAAATGTTGATTGATCAAACAATCATTTTTGATTGTAGCCTGTCATTCACACGATTGCATCGCATTTGAACATTTTTTGACCCATCCAATAAATTTCAAAACAACAATAACCACACGAACGTGCTACGCTCAAAGTTTGTTTGGAAGACATTCCTACAAACGAACGCATGAAATCAAGACGAGCATTTTAAGCGAAAATTCGTGTGATTTTCAAACAAACAAAATAATAAACAAGTGGCATCAGTGCGAAAACAACATGATTCCATTTCATGTCAAATACCATTAAATCGAATAAGAAATGTCTAAACATCGAAATCATTGTTGTCGGAACATGTTTGGTGCACTCGATTTTGGATTTGATGCAGAAGATAGAGTAAAATAGCAAAGCGAGAGATAGTGAATTTCAATGGCTCGCCCGTTAAATGCTATGGTGTCGTTGGTGTGTTCGTTGTGCACAATTCGAGCATCAAATTTTCAATCGATAATCGAGAGTAAACCCAAAGTAAAACATGTGTTGATAGTTCGCAACGATTTTTTTTTCTCTGTTGCAGTGGATTTTAAGAAGCGATACACTGACATCGTTTGCTCACTTCATTAGTGAGAAAAATGGTGATATGTAACACTTGCTTCATTATTATTCAATGCTGTGCACGATGCAGCATCTTTTCTGTCAAGGCGTATAAAGTATCTTCGATGTTGGTGTTACTGCTGATCAATATGCAGTCTGTTGACGACAGCATCAGCATTACAATAGAGAATAGACAACAACAAAAAAAGTCGCGCGTTTAGCAAAGACAATGAAGATGAAGAACGTATACACGATAGAGAAAACATTAAACGGGTGTTAAGTAAAGAAAATGTGTGTCAAATCAACAATGGAAACACATCGATTTGTGTTGGGTTGCTGCATGAAAAATACATTAAGTGAAACATGATGGAAGAAAAAATCCCGAACTATATAAAGGTCACACTCGGGACCGATTTA